TAAGTGTGGCCCTGCGATGGACTGGCGACCTGTCCAGGGTGTCCCCTGCCTTCGCCCTAAGTCGGCTGGGATAGGCTCCAGCCCCCCCGCGACCCTAATGAGGATTAAGCGGTGTATAGAAAATGGATGGATATTGTTATCAGCTCTACGTCCTCTTCAGACTCTCACCAGCTAACCATGTCTGACTCTGTGTCTGTCCAGCTATGTTCACTGAGGTGCCTCACGATATGACCGCCCAGAGAGGTCAGGACGTGGAGATGGCCTGTTCCTTCAGAGGGGCGGGAACACCGTCCTACTCGCTGGAGATCCAGTGGTGGTACATCAGGAACCATCTGGACTGGACAGACCGGCAGCCCTGGACGACTAATGAAGTAGGTTCTTCTCTCAAATGTCAGACAGGCTTGGTTTTGCTGTTTTATTTATTTATGTTTTAATCACTCGTATGTGTTAATAATACTGCTGTACTCAAAAAGTTCAGAAACTTGTTTTTTTTTTTCTCTTTCACTCATTAAGGAATTGTGAACAACTTTTCAGACTTTGGTTGCTGGTTTACAACCCTGATGATCGTCAGACTAGCTGCCTCACTGAGCATTTGGTGAATGCAGCGTTATTATTATCACTGAATAAAACAATGAAAATGCAAAACTAGGACCAAACTTTAGGCGTCTATTTGGGATACACACCTGTCCTGTGTCTGTCTTTAAAGCTGTATTCATCTTTTTTTTTTTTTTTAAGAAGCAGATTCCTTGACAAATTTAAGTCTAATGTTAAATATTAAATGAGGAAACTATTTGCCAGACATCCGACTGTGTTTACTGGCCACTTGGTAGCTTTGTCTGTCTTCTCTTCGGGTGTTTCTGAGAGACGGTCAGACTGAAAGTAAACAGATATAAAACGGATCCATACGCTGCATGCATCTGCAGAGTCGGATCATTTAAGCACCGTGAGAGACGTTCATCTCGTTACAGAACCATTTTTTAACTTGCTGCTAATATAAAAAAATAAAATTCAGCTGTAAAAAAAAGAGAGAGAGAAGAGAAGCAGTAATCCCAACAAAAACAAAAAAATAAAATCTCAATCCTGTTACCTGTTGTCAGATATTACCAGACCAGCCAACTGAATCCAGGTAAACTGAATAACACGCTTTTAAACACATGAAGATGAACTCATTCTGCTCATGTTTGCTGTTTTTCTTCTAGGTGGCTCCTGAGGAGGAGATGCCAAAGGATGCTACAAAGATAAGTGTGAGTTAAGCTCTATCTATATTTCTGTATTTTCTTGGGAGAGCCCTTATGTTTGCCTCGGTGTCGTACGACGAGACGAGGCACAAAATGCTCCTCATTACATTCGGATCTCTTGTTCTGGATGATCCGCAGATGTTGTGCTTCTGCCGTATTGCACACGAGGATGAGATTTCCGCCTTGTGCAGCACTCAGCAGGCAGTGATGGTGCTTGTGGGTGGCTAAGCGTCCTCCTCCAGGGGGCACGGCCTGCGCTGCATCATCTTGAGATTCTAATAAGCAGTCCTGCATTTCTGTGGCTGCAACAACAAATCCCAACAATAAACAGTGAACGCTGTTCCAGCTCCTGTGGCGTCCATACAGCCCTTCAGTTCAGGCAAATGGTTTGCAACAAAAAAGCAGGAAGGCAGCTCGGGTATACAGTGGCTCACATTATGGACTGTTTCCTTCTAATTAACTGTACATGTAGCAGGATGCTGGAGTCGCTGCACCAGCCTACTACCCTGGATAAATCTCTTTGTGCTGACTTTATAGCCACAAACATAACCAACAGAATCATTGCATGTCAGAGTCATGCATGTAAAATCAGTAACAGGCTGTAAAGACGCGTAAACATTATTGTTCATGTGCAGAAACAAAAACGTACGTACAGATAAAGCTTCTCCTTCCCCTCCAACCCCGACAGGCTAACTGCTGCTGATTCGCTGTAATGAAAGCACCAGCTGTGGTTTGGGTGACTGAATGCGTGGATGTGTTTGTGTGGGTGGAGCCAAACACTGCAGGCTGTACAGCTGGAAAACCATTACCAGCCCTCTGTACGTGACGGATGCTGGCTCACATCCACGCAGTCACACAGACGCACGGCAGATGCAAACTCACACATTGTGGCTTTCAAACTGTACCCATACAGGGGCTGGTGCAGGACACGTAGGCACCACAGTCCAACGTCGAGCGGCGTCACGAGGATGAAGACGGCTGATGAATGAAGCTGTATTTATAGCTCGCTGTGTGTCACATCTCTCGTCACCTGAACGGCGCTGCTCTGTGAACCTGCGAAGCTTTTAGGACGGACGCAGTTTCTTCAGACTTTCAAGGCCACAAATAGATTTCGTTAACCAGCACCTTCTCCGTCTGTGTGGGAGTGATTGGAGGAAGTGTGGCTGTACACAAACCATAACACAGGAATGATTTCAGCTCCACATTAAAGCTCTCCTGTTCTTTCTCTGTAACTGTCATTTCTTGCTGAGCTCATTTTTTCTTTTTGAGCCTAATTTATGATACACAGCCATAAACTGTTTATATGAAACACATCATCTCTGTTAAAACGAGGGTTTTAGGTGCACCTAAATGTTCTTTTATTGGATTTACATGCAAGAAGGATGCCAACACCATCAAAGTAATAGTCTGACATTTTCAAATAATGTGACCAGACGAGATGATCGACACCACGGTCACGGCTATGATGTTGTCTTGTCTGCTGTTTGTACAGTATTTCTTGTTTTTATTGTTTAAATTATGTGTTTTTCAGCAAATTCAAGAAAGTCTGACATGTCCCCAGAACCTATCTTTCAGTTTTTGGGCTTAGAACACTGCAGAGATGGTTCATTTCACCACGACTGTGTAGCTCCTGGTTTCAGGCCTGCTGGTTTGTCAGATGATGCTGCTGCAGCGAGCGGTGCGTAGCGACACCTTACAGATGGCTGGTTGACGTGTATTCTTAATGAATCACTATTTTATACTCGTTCTGTTGTCTGACAGCAGAAACAAAGACATGTCATTGTAATATATATATGTTCATTATAAAATACAGTGTATGTGTGCACAGAGACCAGGAGAGAAACAAACACCAGAGTTCAAGTTGAGCTGGAAACACACAGTTTTTAGTGTCTGGCTCTGATGAACGGTGTTGTTTCCCGAAAGCCAGCACGCCTTTCAGATCACATGGCAGGTTTTGGGGTTCAGAAGGTTTAATCGCATGAATATGGCAATAAAGAGGAAGACTTCATGTCTCCCACATGGCAGTCAGCAAGCAGTGAGCAGCCTCACGACGCAGGTATGAAATCATTAATATACTGA